GGCAATAGTAGTGTTTTCCCACACTTTCTTTTTCCTTATTTCTCTCTCCTTCATTTTTGGTTTAATAGCAAGCCGTGCAAAATAGAGCATTGAAAATATAAAAGATGGTCGTTGTTGCCTGGAGAATCTGGTGTGCATATGTTCACTTTAGGCACTCAACCTGAGTTACTGCAGTTTTGCCCTTAAGAAGTCAGCAGCATCTATTTTTAAAAAAATTTGCTATCCTTAGGAACAGTTCTTTGGTCAAAATGATGAGAATGATCCGTCATTGTAACTTAGTCAGGTAACTAGCTTAAAAGCTCACAAATAAAATAGTCTTTCCCACTATTTTTAATTTTTCAAGATTCCCAGAATCAAGAAACGTTGTTCCTTTGTGAAATAAGGCAAAGATTGACCATAGATTAATAATTTATTGTGGAAAATTACATGCCTTTTATTGTCTTACTTGGGCTTTCTTGGGCTCTTTCTGAAATAAGTGCTAAACAGTTACAAACACACTAGACTGAGTATTAAAATGCACTATTGTTGCTGGCAGTCCAAGTTTTCTTGCAAGATCATGCTTTAAAATCTGCTTCCTTCAGGCTTCTGCAAAAGCAGGATATTGTTGCTATTTAGGGGAATTCATTAGCAAATACTGAACAAGCAGAAAACCTACTAGCCATTTAAATTTTCAACTGAGGCATGAAGGGGTAAGCTAAGGATTTACACTAGGACATAACACAGTAACATCTTGATTAATGTTGGCCTATGAACTGTTTGGGTAGCTCATATTCTCTATTCTAGCCAGCTACATTCAGACCAGCTCAGCTTTAATCTTGTTCTAACCTTGATCCTATAACTCCAAAAGCTATTTGTATTCCCTGTGTGATACCATCAGCTGTCCCAGATTTTGTGTCATGTCACCAAAATTAACAAAAAGTTTTTCAATTCTGTGCAGCTCTGGCACACTCTGTGTCCTGCTCCCTTCCAGGGATGACACTGACCAGCACAGTGATGACTATCAACAGTTGCATGAATTTCTGGAGTGTTCAGTTTAGACTGATTTTAGTTAACTCCATCAAGGACTTYACTCCATGGGTGTTAAAGTGGTTTGTCATAGTCCTTTACAGCCATCTAATTTAGATTGTATATCCCTGACAAAAATGTACAATCAGAATCACTGGACATTTACAACTCTCCTCCTTCCACCTCCTTCCCCATTTTATGGAGAAACAGTACTTTGTTTGACATGCAGGATTTTCAACTTCTGGTTAATTTTAGAAAATTGTGATGTAACCAAATGGCTCTGAATTTGAATGCCTCAATCTCCACTCTTACAAACTGCTGCTGTTACTAAAATGGCTTCAGCGGAAACCCATGAGAAATATTTGATGGTTTTTTTTTATGGTTTCCGTGTATTTTTAAGCTTAGACTGTTTGCTGTATGTACATTTCGATTTGTCTTGTTAAGAAAAAAGTATTTAAGGATGTCATGGAATGTATTTTGCAAACCTGATGGCTTTATTAAAGTGACAACAAAATTTAAATATTCACTAAGAGGCTAGAGTATTCCTAAAGGAGTAGATAGAGTCCATCTGCCTCCCCAAACCAAATCAAGCCCTGTTCAAAAGCACATTATGCCATCAGAGTTATAGAATTAGGGAATAGTTGAGGTTGGAGAGGATCTCCGGAGATGGTCTAGCCCAACCCACCCTCTCAGAGGATAGCCCAGTGCATGTTGCCCAGAACCCTGTCCAGATGAATATGCATATGAATATGTCCAGGGGTGAAGATTCCACAGCATTTCTGGTCATTCTGCTCTAGTGTTAGACGACTGTTACAGTAAAAAAGCTTTTTCTTACTTTTTTTTTCTTATTTTTTATTATTATTCGTGTTTGATTTTTTTACAAAAGCAATTCTGGCAAAGTTMAAGTTAAAATATTGMTTGCTTTWWAAAAAAWAAATTAAAATCACTGCCTATGAATTATCTTGTCTACCCCTGGGCTWGCAACTTAGTTTTTACACAGTTCAGAAGACTATGAAACCAATTTGGATAGGAAATTACACTTCTGGTTCTTCTACTGGTAAATCAGATTTCAGGGAAAAGACTTATCCCAGTCTTTGACCATACCTAATCCTGTAAACTTTTATCAAGAACAGTAATAGGGATACATTCAAGTGTAACTTTGCTTAATAGCACTTATTTTCTTGATGCCACATCTTTATWTGAAGTCATTTTGCATCTGACAAGTATTGTTTAAACCTATTGCCTACTTTTGAAAAGGCTGTTCAGTACTAGTAGGTGTGTTCCAGCCTCTCCTCCTCCTCAGCAGTATGTTGACTTTCTCTTTTCTRCTTCTACTCTGCAGGTAGTGGCATTACCACTTTTGAACTATGCATTTACCAAGCACCTACAGGTCCAGAGCCTTAGACAAAAACTCCAGTACATAGAAAAAGTAGCATTTTACAAGTGTTGTGCTTTGTGTAGGTGTGTGTGTCACCCAGTGGAGAACAAAGTTCCTTAGGTTTTGTACAGGAGTGACTGAAAGGAAGCGAGCAGTTCTCAAGGCAGTGTCAGGTTCCGATTTAGAAAGAGATTGACTCCTTTTAAATTGAATTTACAGTGTATTTGCAAGCCATTTAGCTCCTTAATACATACACATCATATATATATATATATATATATATATATACATATACATATGTATATATATGCATATATATACACACATGCATACAAACATTCCAGGATTAAATGATTAAATAAAAATACTGCACCCTTGGACTGTGTAAGTACACCATTTCCAAATTCAAAAGGTCCACAGCCAAAGGATGTGTATTTCTTCAAAACTTGACAGATGTAAATAAATAAAAAATAAGACAGTGATAAGGTCAGCATATCGTGATGAATGTCTTCTCTCCTATATTTGAAATTACAGTTTGTAGGCTGCTTGAAAGTCTTCTGAATACCTGTCAGTACCAGTGTGCTCAGGGAAAGAGGATGAAGATGAAAACATGGCAACCTTTAAATTTTTGGATTAAAGATGATTTTAATACTGAAAGGAAATTAGTATTGTTTTTAAATGCAAAGTTTTTTATTTATTCTTCTCCAAATTGAGACTTCAGGCAGTGCAATTTCTGACAATCACATTGCWCTTAAAAGTGCTCCTTTCTGTAATCTAAAGGGTTTTAAGTTATAAATATTTTTTACTGTAGCATTATAAATGCATTTGAAAAACTGTCACACAGATAGAACACATAGTGCTGCATTAAGTATGGACTTCAAAGTTCAAGGACTGTCAGAAATAAATGCCTGCCAATATTACTTTCCTTTTCACTAGATCCATCAAAGTAAGTCAAATGCATGGGGTTAGCAGGACTATAAACATTCACAAGACTGAAGCCAAAAGATCACTCAATACAGGACTTTTTTTGCTTGAGAAAATATTGTATTTTTATTATCACATTTGCAATATAAAATATACCATAAAGGGCAACAAAACTGGTAAAAACTAGATATGGTGTGCAATAGCTCTATATGGGGCTTTTAGATTTTTTTGCATTCTAATTCTACTTGCTTGTGTTTTAGGGTGAAATTATGTGTCATAAAGTGGTTAGTACACTACAAGTAGACAGTGAAGTTTTTTTTAACTTCAAGATAACTTATTAAAATATGGCAAAAGTCTTGTGTTTTAATGGTCCATTGGAATAATATTTGCGTTTAACCTGTMTATCTTCAGGGAACAAGAATGCATGTTCACAAATACGCTAGAGCAGATTTTGTCCAGTCTCTTGTGTTTTGATAAAATTTTATACTCCAATGGAGTTGGTATTTGACTGAAAACAGGCCCCAAACTAGACTTTAAAGGTTTGTCATCTGTAAGGCAAGATGATAATAAGGTAAGAACGAAGTCAAGTGCTTGATGCATTTTTTTTTTTTGAAGGAAGATCACTAGCAGAACTAGTTATGTTATCAGGACTGCTGTGAATTGTACCCTTGAGTTCACTATGTAAAATGTAAGACACCTACCTAAATTTACAGGAAAGGCAGCCTCTGAGTCAAAGAATTTTAACTAAATCTTAAATTGCTTTCAAGAACAGTGTAATCTGTGGTATATTAGATATTTAATATGAAATTAAAACAAGAGTTGTTAATTCTGGGGAAACTACTTAGGGCTTTACAGGGTATAGTACAAGGTTCAGAACCAGAAAGCTTCTTCTGTCAACTGCCTRCTTTAAAAATGCATATATGTGTAGACTAGGATACCTATAACTTACTATCTTTTGTGATCAAAGTTTGTTTCTTGAAGAACTTTCCATCCCAGGGAGGTATCAGGCAATCAGCAATTTYGCAGGACAGCCAGAGGGATCAAAAGCTTTCCCAAAGCATAAAGTGCTCRTGGCCATTTCTGCCAAAGTTCATTCATTTGGAGGGACTATCCCTCCTTTTATCTTAGTTTTAAAGCAATTCAAAAATCTCCCACTGCTGTGATGAAGTATTGAACTGTGTGTTTTAGTAAAGCATTAGAAAATGGCTAACTAAAAACACTTTTAATGTGCAGTCACTCATGCTGGTGTGGGCTGGCAGCCTGCAGTGTCGCACGGTGCAGTGACGTGAGCAGGTGACCTCAGGGGAAGGAGGGAAGGGATGGACSTGGGCAGGCAGGCGCCAGGGAGGTTCTCCAGCAGTCAGGCAGGGATGCTGCAGCTGAGGAAAGCTGGTCCTGTCTCCTCGTCCCTACAAATTTTACAGATTCTCCCAAGSAGCCATCTGTCAAAGGACAGGGGGATACACATACCTCAAATATTTACGGTGCCTGTACTTTAAGAATGAGACAGTTCGTTCACATCTGTGAACGGGCCACTTTTAAAACATCAAAATAAACCATCTGGCTGCGCAACTGTTTCTAATTACTTCCCTGCCTAGACTGTAAACTTGGGGGTTTGGCACCGGCCTCCTTCCCAGAGTGCTGCCCAAATCCCGCTCCCAGGCAGCTAATCAGAGCCACTGCAGCACGGGGGGAGCAGCGCTGGAGCCGGGCTTGTCCAGCTCGCAGGTCTCCGCATTCCTGGCGGCTGTGTCCGGCCGTGTGTCCGGCCGTGTGTCCGGCCGTGTGTCCGGCCGTGTGTCCGGCCGTGTGTCCGGCCGTGTGTCCGGCCGTCTGCAGGAGCGCTCCAGGTGCGGCGCAGCACAGCTCGCACCATGCTCGCCCAGGGGCTGCTGGCGCTGCTGCTGCTGCTGGTCCCCGCGCTGCCGGCCGGGCCCCCGGCCCTGCGGTAAGTCTGCCTCTCCGCTCTCATGGGGGGTTGCGACTCATTTTCAGGTACCAGCAGTGTGGAAGCTGGGATTGCGGAGGGAGCAGTGGAGCACTTTGTTGGCTCTTCCTCTACTCGCTTGAGAGTCACACCGAGGGAGGCGCTCTGGGTCACTGCGAGTCTGAATAGGGAGGCGCTGTGCAGGCTGCGGACTCATTTGCGACGATGTATTTGATGCCCAAGATGCGCACTTTGAAAGCAGTGAAGCGGGAAGAGCTGGGTAGTGATGGCTTTTTATACCCAAACCTCTAAATTCTGCTGCCTGAGTGGGGCAGGCTCCTAACCACAGAATCCTGMTAACTGTTGCCCTTCGTTGCAGTGGCACAGCAAAGCAGACTGCTCTTCGCTCTCCATCCTTCGTCACAGCCAGCACCCACCTGCTCCTTGCAAATTCTGTCTGAGAAGGGCAGGCTCTATTCATCTGCACCTTCAGTATTCCTTAGCATTGTGAAGATCTATTTTTGGCCTGAGCAGTCCTTTGCTCATTTTTCCTATGATTCAGCTCTTGGTGAGACAATGTGTGATTTTCTTTGAGTATGTCCTGAAAGTCCTGATCTCCATGTGCTCCAGTGCATGTTRCAGTTGCATGGCAGAGCTACAAATCTACAGATCTAGCATTGGATTCTGCTGGCTTCACTAAAACCACAGCCACAAACTACATTATTGCATGGAAAGCAGTGATTGCTTTGGTTTCCTTTTCCATTGAAAGCACAGATTGTATATGTCTGACAACCAGGAGGATTACTTTGGCAAATGTATTTTATTAGAATCAACCATAAGTTTGCTTTTTTGATATATATTCCTGTTATGCTATCCAGATGTTTGGATGTATATGGTGTCTCTAAACTTTCTGAAATAATTAAGATTAAATGTTTAATGATAGATAATCAAWCTATACATGTCTATGCATATATACCAGATAGGCCTGATGAGAAAGTAAACGAGACTAATGTCGTTAAAAATGTAAGTTAAATAAAATATAAGCATTCCTGCAGGTAGTAGTGAGATTTCTGCTGAAAATGAAGAAAGTTGGGTGATTTGAGACAAGTAATAATTTGTGAACATAACTAAAGAGGTGGTATGAACAATATTCTGAGTATTGGCTGAAGCCAACGGCAGAAGGGTGGCTTCCCCTGAGCCAAGATCTCATCGGTTCTGAGCTGCAGTCTCTGGCTTTGACCACAGTTTATTCTGTTTGCTGTCCTCCACAGGAGCGTTCTGGGTATTCCCGCTTCCTGCCGGCTGTCCCGGGCTGAGTCGGAGCTCAGGTGCCGCRTCCCAGGGGGGAAGCTGTGCAATGACAGAGGCAGATGTGAGTGCGGAGTGTGCATCTGCCAGGTGGCTGAGTCGGGCAAGTACTACGGTCCGCTCTGCGAGTGCCACGACTGGGTGTGCGAGACCTACGACGGGAACGTCTGCGCGGGTAAGGAAGCCCCAGTGATGACAGAATCTTAGGAAATGAGGAGTATRTTTTAAAACTGGAATTATGTTTGGAATATAGCACACTGATATAGTAGAGGCATGACTATGTATGGGTCCCTGAACCATGACTCTAAACGGAATTGTGGGCACATCCAAGGATTTTGCCAGATTAAAGGGTACAAGTTAAAGGCACTGAGTCTGCATAAAATGGGACTTTGCCTAGAGCAAGCTTCATGTGCACCAGGGGCAAAAGCAGAAGTTGCTTTGGGTTGGAGGCTCTGCAAACTGTGTTTTAAATCGAACACAGTACACAAYGTTGTTCACATTTTCTATATAAATCTTCCTTTGAAGTGCTTGCCTAATGRTGGCTTATGATATCTACCCAGGCTCTAAACTATCTCTAAACAATCARTTCTGTCCTGTGATTATTTTTCTTCTCCTGCTATGAGAAAAAAATGTTTGCTGTAAGARGTACCACACAGAGGGCATATAAGTATGAAAACCCTGTTTTTCTCTAAGTAAKGATAACACTTTCCAAAAAGAGACTTAAAATAATGTAATTGTATTGTGGTTTCAGAGATTTCCCCACTGGCACTGTATTCTTTAATAATATACATTTCTGGGACAGAAWTTAGTCCCTGCCAGTTGTTGGAACATGTCACTTGGTTTACATCTAAACATTATCACTCTTTCATCTTTCCAGCTGTCTTTACTTAAGTTTCTGGGTTATTTCAGTCAGATTTTCGCTTTTTTTTTCTTTTTTCTTTTTTTCTTTTTTTTTTTTTTAAGCAGCTTAGAATAGGATTTTAGAAAAAAGCAGGGAGAAGAAATGCCATCACATTCCTAAGGGGATTCAGCCTGGAGCTTGATGAAAGGGGCCAGAAGGGTACTTCATGTCTAGTATCCCTGCTTCAACAGCTTTACCAGATTCACAGAAACGTGTCATCTTTTCAGGCCAAAACCTGCAATTAGGTCAATGGGAATGTTACAGGAATTCTTCTAGTAAGAGGACAATACAAATGCCTTCCAGCAGTTGGTTTGGCAAATTTTGTAGGAAAAAATGGCAACTTATTTTASCAACGATTTATCCAGCAAGTCAAGTAATAATGTGAAAAGATCAAGAATGGGATTATGATAAAAAGATTTATATTTGGCACCTATGACTTTAGAATTYTGTGGAGAAACTGATTCATAGGCTCTGGAGTTAGCAGTGTTAAGTCCCCCTAATAAGAAGTATAATAGCATTTCCGTTCTTTGCTATCCCAAACATGAAATTTTTTTTGGTGGTGTGATTTCAAAGTGCTTGCTCTTGTTGCTGGGTTAATTGCATAAAGTGAAACTGAAGCTCCTTCAATTTTAATATTCTGCTATAAATTACTCCATTGTGTTCCTGTTAATGTCATGAACAGTGGCTGCAAGTTTTTGCCAGTGCTTTAGTGGTAAGGAGTGCTGACAGGACAAATAGAGCCAAGAGATCTCTTAACAATATTTAGCTTTTGGGTAGCACTTCATGCAGTAGTTCAAAGATGTGAATGTTAAGTGATTAAATGCTTTTTAAAAACCAGTTTTCTGTACTTGTCGCCTTGTCACTCCTAGCTGGAATATTGAAACCGTTTTACCACTGAGATGTGAAATAATTTGAATTCTCTCTTCTGGAAAGAAAAAAAGTAGGAAAAAATTCAGTACAAAGTCCTGGGGGTGGGGGCGGGGGGAAACAACTGTGAAGAGTGCAGAAGGATGCTCACTTTGTTTGAGTTTTTCAACAATTGTGCTGAAAGTCCAGCTGACTGTGTTCCAGTCCAGGGCTGCCCAGGACTGCAGGAGAGCAGCCCCAGGTAACTCTTTTGGGGCTGGGATCCAGGTGGTGAACACCTTCTTTCAGGCTGTTTTTTTTCTCTCTTCATTATTCCCCCGTTTTTAGTCACTGAAATTGTGTGTATGTGGGAGAAAGGGAGTATAAAAAAGAAGGTCAAATCTAGGATAACTGGTAGGAGACTGGGCCTTAGGTTTTATGAATAATATTTTCCCCYACCCAGCTCTTCAGTGAACTGCATGCACTGATGTTTTTTAACATTACATCACCAGGCTGATTTCCAATGTATGTTTCCTTTCTTTGCATTTTTGGCCCATTTTTTGGCCCATCACTGTCTTTCCTCTAAGTGGATAATCAAAATGTCTTACTGCGGTTCTATTCCCGTTTCCTGCTTTGTTTTTCTTTTTCATGTTATTTTGACATTTGCTTTCCCATTTCATTGTGAATTTCTCCTGATACAAACAACAACAGTATCTGCTGACTGGTACCATGTGGAAAATTCTAGACACTCTTTCAATATCCTACTAGAAAGCCATGGTATTTGAGGTTAATGCTGTTTAAAACAGGCTACTTTTYAAGCTGCCTCAGTAATTCCTTTTTCAAGTGACTGATGTCTAATCACCAATGAGGTTCATATTCAGAGATGGACAGGCAGSGTTGTTTGAATCATGAATGCCAAAGATAGCTGTGTTTTCCTGCCAGTCCATTCAGACATAACTCCCCTTCCCTTGCCTATCCCAAGCTAAACAAAAGATTTGGTTACTCAATATGCAGCTCATTATCTTAAAAGCACTTTCTGTGTCAGATCCACTTTCTGAAGAGAGAAGGCCTGAAGGTAAAAAAAGTCTGATGTCCATCTGATTGATTTGCTTTTTCTAATAAACCTTGTATAAAAATCGAAAAGAGATTATGCCATGAGTTGTAAAGAAGAGCAGATGTGAATGTTTCTATCCTTTTATTTTCCCTTGAGACTTCTTTGCTGTATTTCCCTCCCATTATGTTTCCAGGTGCTTTAGGAGGAGTTCTGATATTTTTTTTTTTCTTTTTATCCCACTGGAATTGATAAAGTGATGATCCTTCATGGAGTGAGAAAGAAAGAAGGGAGAAATCAAGTACTGTGGTCTGAGTCACTGAGTCTCCTGTCCTTCTCAGCAGCCTTTTTATCTGCCTGATGTATCATGGGGTGTAGAGGAAATCGAGTAGATACTGTCATTCTCTTTGTAAAGTCAGGGACATCTTTATTTTATCTTTTGTTGCTGATCTTCAAGGAGACAAGCTTGGAGGAGGAAGACTGRATCAAAAACAATCAAATCCCCAAAGGAGTTATGCTTCACTCAGAGCAGACAAATATATTTGTTGCTGTTTATTTGCAGATAGTTCTGACCTCAGACAGCTGCATTTTGCCTCAGGCTTTCTTAGCATAAACCGAGCCCATGTTGTGTGCAAGGGAAAGTGGAATACGGGACTGATTCCTGCCACACCACTGCTTGATACTCATTTCTCTGGGGTTAGTTGTTTGGGTTTTGGCTTTTTTTTTTTTTTTTTTTTTTGTCCCTTATAGAGGAAAATCAATTTTAGTGAATTTTTTTTTAATCTATTTTACTCTGTCTGTGGTTAATGAAGGTAGGGAAATTCAACTAAGCATAGACTTCCTTGGCCAACTGAGGTGGGAACACTTTGGATGTTCTTAGAGAATGGCCCACAGGATCTGCCAGTTGGGACAGGTGACAGTGCGATTGCACTGTGTGTAGTTGGTGAGATCAAAAGACAGATACAATTTGGTGATGACTTAGCAGCATATGAAGAATGTTTTTCTTTGYTCAGAACTATATTCATTACCTTTGTTTTTTTATAGTATTAAGATTTGATAAACCATTTTTCTTTCAAACTGAACTAACTTTTACACCTACTGGCACAGTGTAATTTTCCATAAGCAGTTACTGCTGTTCAGGCCAGTGAAAGATTTTTCTGTTTCTTTCTCCAAAGCTGTGGTTGCTGTAGGTGCTGTACCTATTTTAAGACTAGTTCAGCAATATAATGGCAGTGTTAGTCGTAGGTTTTYGCAGCCAGAAGTGTTATCATATCTAATGTGAAGGACAAAAGSATATGTGCCATTATTTTCTGATCTGTAAGGTTTCAACCTAGGCAGAGAACACAAGTGAAAAATCAAATTGACAAGGAGTAGATGTAGAAATAACATCATATAATAAATTATATGTAATAATAAGATAAATCCAAATTAAAATATTGATGTAATACATAGCTATGCATCCCTGTGGATTTACTGGAGGTATGCTCCTGTATACCAGTTTCAGAGAGTTAGGAATGTGAAAATGGAATTTGAAGGACATTTTGAGCTRAGAATTGCTTTTTGCACAGAAGCTGAATAGTGTCTTTAGGCAGAGCTWTCGAAGTTAAGTTGGAAAGGCTCTAACAACTGTGCTTTTGTATTCATACTGAAGGGAGGTCTGACACACTGATTGTTCATTGAGCAGCATTTCTTGCTAAAAGTGTGAAGAAAAGCCAGCCTGTGACCYGCATTGATTGCCATTTGATCCRAAGTAACATTCAAAGCCCTGGATTTTGAGAACAAGTATAAGTCTCTTCCCAGTCAGAGGCCATGTTTGCAAAGATTCAGCTGTGGCACATGTGGCCAGTGGAGACAGAGCCTCCTTAAAAGACTTGAGTTAAAAATAGGGCAGGAGGCTACTGGTGAAAAATGGAGGTTRCAGTTCTGCTCTGACCTATTTTGCTTTAGTCTAGATTTCAGAACTTGGTATTTTGTGACATTTCCTCCCAGAGCAGGGGTGTGTGGGTGTGATGCTAACATCCATATTCATCTTAAAACAGGTTCCTCCGGTTCTAGTAGAAGTGAAATCGTGATAGCATAGACCTCATTGCAGGCTCATTGCCTTGCTTGAGGTCCCGGCAGACTTAAAGAGCACAAGCTAAAGCCTGTATTATTTTCAACTTGATGCTGTTGGTACCTGATCTAGATAAAATCAAGGAGCCTGTGATACACTTACAGTTGCTGTAGATCCAAATGCCGTGTGTATGTTCATAGCAGTGGTGTGTGATGCAGGAGGAAGCTTAGACACAAAAACTGTGTGGGATATTAATGGAAGGGAAGCATTTTAAAAGGAACTGATTACATGATATGTAGTTGCTTAGCTCTTATTTTGAGCACT